CTCATAGTGTGAAAGGATACCAAAGTGATATTCTCTCACAGTGTGAAAGAATATCAAAGTAAGTTTAAAAAATTGTTGGCCTGCCATAAGATAGAGATAGTAACTAAACCATCTTGATAGAGACTAAAACTGCCAATTTCTTCCCAAATATTTTGTTAAAATCCATGTTACCTATTCAATCTCACAACTGCTATAAGCTATATGACGTCTCAAATGCTCAATTATGACATCACAGCCTATGACACTGTGTTTAGAAAAGACAGAGGCAAAGGGAAAATCAAAGAAAATGTAATAAACAGAAAATTCAATGTTTTGTAGTTCATGGATATGGAATTTATTTCACTCATGAGACAGGATTTTTAGAAATATTTTCACTCGTGCTTCGCACTTGTGAAAATATCAAAAAATCCTGTCCCACTTGTGAAATAAATTCCATATCCAACTACAATACATTGAATATCCTCTATTTATTTTTGATGCATTCTTGAACTTTACTGTCATAATTTTTCGGCAATTGATTGTAGTTTTTCAGCATGTAAAAATGACGTCACAATCGAATTCGTTTACAAACAGCGCGGAGTTTCCCGAAAGTGACAGAGTTAGGGTAGTGACGGGGTTAGGTGATTTGGCGATAAAACGGACATTAAAATTTTTTTTTATATTGGTAAAATTAAATATTCCGTGGAAAGCTTTACTGAAGGACTATAAGGAATCAAGAAGGGAATATATTTTGCAGGCGTAGGTCTATATATATCTCATTTTTGTTGTTGTGATTTTTTTTTTTTCAAAAATTTTTATTTTTTGTTTTAAGTGTCAAATTGCAGTTTCTTGAAGATCACCGTCAAAAGAAAAATCTTATAACATGTATATGTATTTACATGTAAGTTAAAACAAAATTGTAATATAAAGTTCAAAATCATATGAGAAAAACAAAGTTAAACGATGTATAATGGACCGAGAGGTAGCCGTTCAGTCTAAATGTAACCGTAAATTGAACTAAATACATATGTACACAGATATATACCGGTACTCAAAGGTATACGACTTCAAAATTGCAGCAATTAAACTGAATATTACTATAAATGTATGTATACCTATACACCTGACATGCATATCAATAAAGTTTTCTATGCTAATAAATGTTTTCTTGGCAGCACTAAAAATATCTTCTTCTTTTTTAAGGCTTCCGTATATGATCATTTATTAATATTGTGTGGTCTATAGGGATGTCACAAAACATCAATTACTTTGATGCAGAGGGGACAATACATCGATAAATATTCTATTAAATTATATCCAGAAGTGTACCCTATTATTCACAAGTTTGGGTTTTAAAATTATAATATTCACATAAACAATTGGCAAAAATTTTATTCCCCGGAAAAAACTTTTATTGAATTATTTTTTTTCCAGATATTTAAAAAAAAAAGATAAGATTTTTTCCCTGCTTTTTTTGTTAGTTTTAGAGGGTGCTAAAGACTAATTCAGATTTGTTTAAAAAAAAAAAAGCTGCAACTGTGAAATCTAAATTTTTCCATTTAAGTTAAGAAAATAATCATTGGGTAACCAATTAATGTAATATATATATATATATATATATATATATATATATATATATATATATATATATATATATATATATATATATATATATATATATATATACATGTATATATATATATATATATATATATATATATATATATATATATATATATATATATATATATATCTCATAACAGAGAGTCCGGGACATATATATATGTTCCTGATCATATATGCATTGCTTGCAAAAAATGTTTAGAAGACAGAAATTTTGCGATGCTGATGCTTTTAGTCCTCAAGAAACACAGCCTTAGTGTTCATCAGATGATCAGTTTCCAAGTGTCTTGATAACCCAGGAGGTAGATAATTTGTCTGTAGTTTGGGTCCCAAGTTCATCTTCTGATCTGGTTCCTGGCAATTGTACCTCCTTGAAATTGATGTCTTGACCTTGTACTCAGAGTAACAGATGAGAATTAAATGACTTGATATTTCTAGATTGATGTTTTTAAATATGCATGTAGTCGTGAAAGATATGAAATGATGCCCAGGCAAATTTGTTTACTATTGTTGGACAAATAATGAGTTAACGTTATAGAGTTCTTGGGCCTGGGTAGGTTGAATACTTGACTGGTCCAGGGCACACTCTCTCTTTCCCCTTTATACTACATATATGTAATTTTGAATGCTCTGGCAACTCATGATGAAATATCTTAACAGGGATCTATATACAAGTTGTCAGTTTTTTTCCCTCTAAAAATGGTTCTATGGATGTTTTGAACTAATCAACACAAACAGAAAATCTCCAAAATCACCAATACTAGTGCATAAGATTTTGAACAGGAGCCCCATGGGCCACAACACTCACCTGAGTAACATTGGCCTTGCTGTTTTTCACCTGACCCCCCTCCACCCCCCAATTGTAGTACTTATTGTGGCCCCGCCCTACCCCCAGGGGTCATGATTTGAAAAATTAGAATTTACACTACCCCAGGATGTTTCTGCATAAGTTTCAGCTTTTCTGGCCCAGTGGTTCTTGAGAAGAAGATTTTTTAATGACCTCGCCCAATTTTTGTCTTTTCTTGATTATCTCCCCTTTGAAGGGGACTTGGCCCTTCACTTTAAGAATTTAAATTCCCCTTCACCGTAGGATGCTTTGTTCCAAGTTTGGTTAAAATTGACCCAGTGGTTCTTGAGAAGTTGAAAATGTGAAAAGTTTACAGACGGATGGATGGACAATGGACAACGGGTGAACAGAAAAGCTCACCTCTTTCAGCTCAAGTGAGCTAAAAAACAAGAGGCCCACGGGCCTCATCGCTCACCTGAACACATGGCTAGGAAAAAGCACAAATCAATTCAGTATTGAAAAGTTTACATTGGGGGGGGGGGTTGAATTTTTAACTACCTGAGGATGCTTTCATATCAATATAACAAATGGCTTTGTTGTTCTTGAGTAGAAGATTTTTAAAGATTTTTTCCTATATATTCCTTTGTAAAAATTTGATACCCCATTGTGGCTCCTCCCTACCCCCAGGGGTAATCAGTGGAACAAAATTTAATTTACACTACCCGATGATGCTTCCATATCAATATGACTAAACATGGCTTTGCTTTTCTTGAGACAAAGATTTTTTCCTTTATATTCCTATGTTAAACTTAGATCCCCCATTATGATCCCGACTACCTCTGGGGGTCATGATTTGAACAAACTTGAATCTACAATACATGAGAATGCTTCCATTTCAATATGACTAAACATAGCTTTGCTGTTCTTGAGAAGAAGATTTTTAAAGTTTTTTTCCTATATTTCTATGTAAAACTTTGATCCCCCCTTGTGGCCCCACCCTACCCCCAGGGGTCATGATTTGAACAAATTTGAATCTACACTATCTGAGGATGCTTACATATCAATATAACAAATCATGGCTTTGCTGTTTTTGAGAAGATTTTTTTCCCTATATATTCCTCTGTAAAACTTTGATCCCCAATTGTGGCCCCACCCTAACCCCAGGGGTCATGATTTGAAGAAACTTGAATCTACAATACCTGAGGATGTTTCCATATTAATATGACAAATCATGGCTTTGCTGTTCTTGAGAAGAAGATTTTTAAAGATATTTTCCTATATATTTCTATGTAAAACTTTGATCCCCCATTGTGATCCCTACCAACCCCAGGGGGTCATGTTTTGAACAAACTTGAATCTACAATACCTGAGGATGCTTCCATATCAGTATAACAAATCATGGCTTTGCTGCTCTTGAGAAGAAGATTTTTAAAGTTTTTTCCTATATATTCCTATAGAAAACTTTGATCCCCCATTGTGGCCCCACCCCACCCCCGGGGGTCATGATTTGTACAAACTTGAATCTACACTATATAACAAAGGTTTCCTATAAGTTTCAACTTTTTTGGGCCATTGGTTTTCGAGAAGAAGATTTTTAAAATATGCTACCAAATTTTCACTATATCTGAATTATCTCCCCTTGAATGAGGGCGTGGCCCTTCATTTGAACTAACTTGAATCCCCTTCACCCAAGGATGCTTTGTGGCAAGTTTGGTTAAAATTGGCCCAGTGGTTCTGGAGAAGAAGTTGGAAATGTGAAAAGTTTACAGACGGACGGACAGACAGACGGACTACAGACAAAATGTGATTAGAAAAGCTCACTTGAGCTTTCAGCTCAGGTGAGCTAAAAAATACTCATATGAAAACCATCTTTCTAGGAAACAGACATTTCAAATGATGTCAAAATATATGCTATACAGGACTTTAGAGACGAAATGAGGATGCTGACTTAAAAACATTGCGGCTTTTTCAAACACATAAAAAAATGACGTTAAAATGAAAACTGCTGCTGAATTTCAAACTATAAAAATGCCTGTCTTAAAAAATAATTGATTCAGCAGTATTTGAAGTAAGAGAGATTCTTTTAAAAGGACTGAGGTCTTTGTTAAGATTTTCTGACACTGACTACTGTACAATTGAATTTTAATACTGATTTATTCTTAAACAATAAAATGTTGAAAAGTTCTCTTGATTGCTCCGCCCTCACTAACGGTCACACCGTCTAACATATTAATTTACTAAACTTACTCTCGTCTCCTCTCCTTGGTTGATTCCCATCAACAATAACCGTAGAACGACTGCGGAGTTCATGTCACGTGATGTAAACAGTGACTAATTGAGAACTCCGCATGGTCGTACCTTGAGATTCCGGAATCATTACACATGGTTTGTAAGATAGTTAGTGAAATGGTACCAGTGATATTCCTAAAAAATATTATATTTAAACCCACTAATTGAAAGACTGTGTCAAACACAAAAATTGTGAGGTTTCAAAAGATCCTATTCACAAATTAATCCTTTACAGGCAGTATAGACAGCCAAATGTAAAGGACAAATACTGGAAATTAATGCATGGAGGTACTTACACTACAAATGAAATATTCTCCATAAATCAACATCTTTGTAAATATTTTATTCAGCATCAACAATACATTATCTAGGTGGAAGTAACCCTGACGCATATGATTTTTTGCAACAAAGGATAACTGCACTTAACGCTGGGTTTTGGGTCTTTTTCCATCGCTTCTGTTGCCTTTATATCTTAACCTTATTTCAATTTTGTATATTTACCAAAGAATTCTGTCAATTTGGCACCAAATTTTTAAATGTTAAAATGATTTTAGACTGTCAATACAATAAAATAATTCCATGTTTTCGACCTTACTATTTCCAAATACATGTATAGAGAATTAACACTTATACCTGCCCTTGATTAAACATTAGGTATGCATGAGAGGTGGAGCTTACATTATAAGAATGGTTCTAAAATTAGACTAGATAAATAACAATGACATGTATAAAATACGAGCTAGATTACTCTTTTCCATCTCCCCCTTTATTCTGTATGACACAAGTACATTACTTACAATGGTTTCAAAACGAAATTAACAATATGACCACGTCCATGTAAGTAAAGAATATTTTGAATCGATGCCTGACAATTCAACGTGTTCGAACACATTGTTCTAGTTAGCACAAAACATGCTACCTTACAAGTAACGTGACGGAATTTAGTATTCACAGAGTTACCTGACGTAAGAAATCAAGTAGTGAATTATAATATTCAACATGCCACAGCCCTTGGTTACGACAGAGAGAGCAAATGTAGGAAGCAATTTTTTCTCTTTTAAACATGAGCGCATGTGTGTCTATTAATCTCCTTTAGACAAAACATTATAAATGCATATAAACAACTACTGTTAAACGGAGAACAATAGACAAAAATGCGCTGTTTATGTATAAAGTCAGTGGAAAAGTTGGCGTCCTCATTATCGTACGGAGATTCAAGAAATTGTGATGACCACCGCCTTTGAAAACAGCCTCGTACTTCGTAAATACATACTTTTATTTAATGTGATTACGTAAAGTTGTAGATTAGATGTTGACGATTCCTGCAATTAAAAGAAAAATGCGTTTTGAAAATCGAAAATGCGTTGTGAAATCTGGGGTTTTGAAAACCTAGACATTATTTATTGAACGTGTTCATTTAAAATTTTTGAAACATATACTCTACTTGAAAAGTAGTACTCCAAATTTTATGGTTTATGGTGAAAGGGGACGCTTTCCATTATCTGTTCTGGTTTATTCCAGGATTGTTTCTTACTGGTGTAAATTAATTAACAGCCCCGGAAACAAAACTTCATGTATTTTATATAAAAATTTAATCTCTAATTCACAATCTGAATTTGGTAAGAATCCATGGAATGATTGTGTGCATCGTATTTTCGATTCTTGCGGACTATCTAATATTTGGAATGGACAGTTTTGTATAAGTCTTAATCAAGATTGGGTTACCACTGTTGTAAAGCAACGATTACAGGATCAATTTATACAAAAAAATGGCATGCTGACATTAATAGTTCATCCAAGGATGTTGTGTATAAACTTTTTAAAATAAATCTTGAATGTGAGAAGTATTTATGTATTTTGCCATGAGAGTTTAGAAAAATACTTGTAAAATTCTAATCACCGTCTACCAGTTGAGCTGGGAAGATGGGCAGGTATACCATTAAATGAAAGATTATGTACACTTTGTAAAACCAAACACGTTGCTGATGAATTCCATTTTATACTTGAATGCACTGCATTGTCAAACATTAGGAAAAAGTATATTAATGAACACTACTTGACCAAATATACTTAAATGTTCTCAATTGTTGACAAAACAAGATGCTAAGACACTGAAAAAACTCTGTACATTTATATTAAAAATATATGATTTAGTCTGTCCTTCATGATTTTTCCCCTCATTTATACCATTATTATATCTATTATATGTACATGTATTTATCTTTTTTCTTCTTTTTTTTGGTCCTCGTTCACTTTCATTTCCTGAATACGTATATCATATACTTGTACATCTGACCTGAATTTTTATATGCTGTAAATATTTTTCATTGTCCTCATGTACCATATATTTACATGGTTTTGAGTGAATAATTGAACTACAGAACTACAGAAAGTTTATTTTGTCGCAATTTTCGCATGTCCCTAAGTGCAGTCATCCTTTGCTTAATTTACGACACACATTATTATAAACATTTACAGTTTTCTGATGAGTATACATTTATGGGGAATATTCTGCAAATTAAATGAATACTATTATTTGACTGTTTGTGTGCAGCAGAGAGTTATGAATGAAATTTTATATTAAATTATGCATAGCAGAAGTGACTGCAGCTTCAGAAGGTGTTGTGGCTTGTTGATTCCCATATTGACCAATAAATGAGCCATCTTCATTAAATTTAGAGGGATCAACATCTCCATATTCCTCCAAGCTGTCTTTATCACTTCCCATGGCTCTTTTCTCCATGTCATCAAATGAGTTTTCTGCCAATGGCTGCTTTTCTGAGCTGAAATAAAATGTATATCTCACAAATTTTAATTTATGCCATTGTACATACAGAGACACACACACAAAGTGAGAGAGAGAATCAAATTCCCATGCAAGACTTTAATCAGCTATTGTAGCTCCATCCCAACCCTAGGAGTCATGAATAAAACAGACTTGAATCTACACAGCCTATAAATGCTTTGTGACAATGCAATTTGAAAAAAAAAATGACGCACTTTGAATTTTTTTTTTTCAAAGTGTGTGTTAAATTTGATACAAAATCAACGCACTTTGAAATTTTTTTTCAAAGTGCATAAAGAGTGTAAATCAACATTTTTTACCATGGAGATACTTAATGCACTTTAAAAAAATATGTGTAAAATAAAAAAAATTCTGGACTTAGATTTTAGCAACAGACAGCATTATTTTGTTATATTTTTTCCCGAAAAATTGATGAATTGATCTACCCTTATCGAGAATCAGGAGACAAGTAGAAGGTCTGTGATGATACATAGTGTCATTTTGTACAAATTGTCGTCGGTGACAATATATACCTACCCTCACTGCACACATTTTCGTCCAACGGTACATATTGGCGGCTGAAAAGTTACACATGTACAATTTGTCGCTAGCGACGTTATGTTCCTTACCTTCACTGCACATATTGTCGCTTCAAGACATTGCTGCTTAAAAATTTTGTTGTTGTTTTTTTTTGGTAGTCATGTGAATGTAATTGGTGTGTAAATCACTCTGACATGTCTCGTATGCTATTACATGCAGCATGATTGTGACGGTACATTTTGTCGTCCTGTTCATTTTGTCGCTGGTGACAATGTGTACCTATCCTCACTGCACAAATTGTCGTCCATCAGTACATGTTGCACGACAATGCATGGCATTGCTTCCATATAAATATGAGTAATCATTTCTTTGCTGTTCTTGAGAAGAAATTTTTTTAAAAGAATTTTCCTATACATTCCTATGTAAAACTTTGATCGCCCACTGTGTCCCCACCCTAGGTCCGGAGGTCATGATTTGAAGATACTTGAATCCCACTACCTGAGGATGCTTCCATATAAACATTGCTCTCATTGCTACTGTTCTCAGTGGTGGATGCGGGGGGGGGGGGGGGGGTCAGCATTTTGTTGACAAGCAAAATAAATAAAATAAAATAAATTAAAAAACATAAATAAATCAAAGTACTCAAAGTACTGCTACAAGTTGATGGTCATGTTAAAATGAGTTGAGGTCTCTAATCCAAATTTGGGTTATGTGAGATACAACCTCACAAGATATGATTAATATTGTGATGCCATGTGCAATGATGAAAACTATAATATTAAAATACATGTATCTCTTTTTTTTGTTTTATTTGAGAAAACACAACATTTCATCATTTCATTTGCACCTTTTCCACAATGTATTTTTAACACGTATGTTTGTTTTTCTTTTAAATATCTACTTGAATGCATAATAATTAATCACATATCAAACATTTGAGCATAGAAAACGAATAATACTACTAAGTTTTGGGATTTTTTGTAAAATGACAATTTAGCTTTCAAAATAATTTGTTTATTTACAAAATTTACAAAAAATAAATAAATAAACAAATAAATAAATAATAATAATAATAAATAAAAAAATAAAGAGTACCATCATTGAAATGGTTACACAGCACAGAATATCATCATTAAAACTACTGGGAACAGGTTTTGGTATCTTTTAAAAGAAATATTGTATATCAAAATGACTAGATATTTCAAATGGGGAAAAATGGCACATCTGTTTTAAAATCATATTACAGAAATAAAGCAACTTCTAAATAAACAAAAAAACCCAAAACAAAACAAAACAAAAAGAAAAAAAAAGAAAAAAAAACCCAAACAAACAAACAAACAAAAAAAAAAAAACAAAAAAAAAAAACAAAAAAAACAACAACAACAACAACAAAAGAGCTTTTTACAAACATATCTCAAACTAAAAGGTCCAACCTACAACAGTATTACAAGTAGTGAATTATTAAACATCGCAAATTGAATTACCGGTATTTCATTAATATACACATTGAATATTTTCACTGCTTTCTAAAATTGACAAACTCTCTATACAAGTACCAATAATTTGACATTTTCAATGCACATCAGTATGTTCCTATTCTCGTGACGGCACTCTTAAATTTCATCTCCTTTATTTTCATTTATTTGCATATTACATAATTCAATTTTGTTGATTTATCCACTATTGAAATTCAACTCCTTGATTTTCGAAATTAACAAGCACATTTGATATTTCAATTCTATTGACTCTTGAAATTCAATTCATTGTCTTTCATAATCATTAACATGCACAATAAATATACCAATTTTCTTGATTTAGACACACCTGAAATTCAATTTCTTGACTTTTAATTGAAATGAGGATTTTATGTTATTTCGTTTGGATTGACTCTTGAAATTCATCTCCTCGACTTTAAGGTGAAATATCCCTCTGCTCTAAATTTCATCATTTTTTTTAAATTCCCACCACTGATTTTCATTAACAACAGCAAATGGAAAATAGTTTGAAGAAAGAAGCGTTTCTTACTTTTTCAGAAATGAATATTATGTCATATTATGTCTAATCATGATACGAAGAAAATTTGAGACAGTGAATAGATACATCTGTATTTTTTTTTTTTTTAATCTCAACAATAAAATTAAAAGTATGAGGTAAATATAGAAATAATATTAACTGTCATACATATTTAATTAATATTAGAAAACATAATGAAACATTGCTTTTTAAACCAGAATATCACATTGTTTTCTCTGTTTGTGAAGAAAAAATGCGTTTAATATTTCAATTTTGTCGGCTTTTCGATTAATTTGATTTCTCAACTCTTCACATTTATAAATATGTTTTTCATATTTTATTTATCAATAACATCTAACTTATTATTATTTTTTTGGTTTTTATTTACTCTCTTCAGTACTATTAATTCACCTTTTCATATGGTCAGCATCTGATAGCTAGACAGCTGGAAATAGTAAAGGAAAACACTTTCCAGTGTAGTGGAAACAATCAATGAGATAAGAATCATGTTAAGGTATTCAATGTATAACAACAATATTTTGTGCCTCATAAATGAATAGTCTGAAATGATTAATCATGGTAGCATTTTGAAGGTGTTATGAAATGAAAATACTCCACCAAAGGAATTTACAAAATTTTAATTACTGTCCAATAAATTGCACCTTGAATTTTACATTGAAGTCTATGGGCAGTGCATGTTTTATTAAGATATTGTAAAAAGTAATTTGAATTTCATACTAATCTCTTGGTGAAAATATGCATTATATCTCTCTTTATTAAAATATTAAAATAAAATGAATCATTTATCACAGATATTTTGACAAAATTAATTTTTTTTTCTTTTCATCTGGGACAGATAACTCTTCAAAAACTTTTAAAGATGCAAAATGATCAGTTTCTTATTTGTTACCATTCATTTGTATTTGGTTCATTTCACTTTAAAAATTGAAGAATTGAAGCAATTTCTCGGATTGTTGAAGCAGTAGATGCAATTTGATGAGAGATTTTTAATATTGCAAGTGTGAAGTGCCCTTATGGTTGCACTGTCCGTAAGTTGAGACCTCGAAAGACTGACCACAGAAAGGATATGGTTGCAGGGAATTTATTTCACAGAGTTTCAGACGAAAATACAAGTTGATGTGACCGACCTAGAAAAATTCAAGATGGCACCCGATTTGTACCTTGTGTATTATTAGGTAAGGGGTATAATTTTTTTATTAAAAGAAAAATAAGGTGCCTGTGGGGGCTTGGCCCTTTAACAATTTAAACTCCCCTTCACTCAAGGATGCTTTGTACGAAGTTTGGTTAAAATTGGCCCAGTGGTTTTTGAGAAGTTGAAAATGTGAAAAGTTTACAGATGAACAGATGGACGACAGACAATGGGTGATCAGAAAAGCTCACTTGAGCTTTCAGCTCAGGCGAGCTAAAAAAATCATTTGTGTGTGAATGTGTGTTACTATATATGTAAAGTTAATTATTTGAATCATGGGAGGCTCCGGTGCTAGATCCTCCTATGGTTCTTGAGAAGATTTTTTAAGATTTTCTGTATATAATCCTAGGTAAATCTTTGATCACCCATTGTGGCTCCACCCTACCTCTGGGAGTCATGATTTGAACAAAATTTATTTTGTTTTTAGCTTACCTGAGCTGAAAGCTCAAGTGAGCTTTTCTAATCACATTCTGTCTGTAGTCCGTCTGTCCGCTGGTCTGTAAACTTCTCACATTTTCGACTTATTCTCCAGAGCCACTGGGCCAATTTCAATCAAACTTGTCACAAAATATCCTTGGGTGAATGGGATTCAAGTTTGTTCCAATGAAGAGCCACGTCCTCTTTCAAGGGGAGATAATTCAGAATTAGTGAAAATTTGGTGGCATATTTTAAAAATCTTCTGAAGAAGAACCACTGAAATGAAGCTTTTCTTGAGAAGATTTTTGAAAAGATGTCACTAAACTTTCACCAATTCTTAACTACTTCCCTTAAAAGAGGACATGACCCTTCAATTGAACAAACTTGAATCCCTGTATCCATGGATGCTTTCTAACGAGTTTGGTTGAAATTGGCCCAGTAGGTCTTAAGAAGAAGCTCAAAATGTGAAAAGTTTATAGAAAGACAGACAGACAGATGGGCAATGGACCAAATGTGATCAGAAAAGCTCACTTGAGCTTTCAGCTCAGGTGAGCTAAAATTCAAAACTGCTCAGTTTTAGTTGAAAATAAATCAAATTACATTTGGACCCTTGGAGTCTCCATATCTATTAAAAAGAGGCACATGGGCCACAACGCTCATCTGAGTCACTTTGGCCCTGCTGTTCTTAATAAGATTTTTCTCTTGTAATACTTTGATTTCCTATTGTGACCCCACCCAACTCCCAGGGGACATAATTTGATCAATGAATAATCAAAATTACCTCACAAAGTTTGCATGTTCCATTTTTTCTGGTCCAG